AATCCAATAATTTCTATTAATTTTTTTTTACTAACAAAATGATGAGTGAGAAAGAGTATAAGGTGAAGAAGGAAATACTAAGTACCAACCTCTATTCTCTAACTGAGATCATCGTTCTTGAGTTTATAAGTACTGACCTCTTGTCATTTTGAGAGGTATCTCTTTGATTTTTTTTTTTTTTGTCAAAAATGTCTAAACCAATTTACACGCATCTCGATTAATTAATTCCTTAATCCGGTGAAAGATAAACTATTCACGCAAAAACTAAAGTATTCATAAAAGATAAATCCATTGATATATATATATATATTTGAAGTGGCAGGACAAATTTTTCCACTATAATTTTGAAAATGAACGTTTAGATGCCCTTCAAAAGTAAGTAAATAGATCCGAAACATATAAAATGCAGTTAATCCCGCTATGGACCACTTTGATTAAGGTGATCTAAGTTTATTATTCCTTGCATTATAGGTATGATACGAAGGAGCGAAAGAGTGGTGAAAATCATGAAAGCCCTGGGCTTTTCCAAAGAAAAGATGGCTTCGATTTCTATTGCTATTGCTAGGAAGGGCTTTGCAGGCTTATAGTTTCTCTCGATAGATGGGCTAGCAGAAGCAGGAGAGCTCAGGGGTTCCTTAGATGCATTTACAGGCAGGGGAATGGGAATCATTGTTTTGCCTTCCCGGCTGTATTACACACACCATCTTTTTATATCATGTTTGTATAAAAAGGATGCCATGGAGCTTGATCAATTGATCAGTAAATAAATAAGGAAGAATGTTTTGGTGTGGAACTGGTTGGGAATAGGACTGGCTGGAGTACCTCCTCCTGTAACACACGAGCATCTAATGTTGAATGGGACATACTGTACACAGCTTACTTGGAAATAGGTTAATTCGACAGTTTGACTCTTTTTATTTCATTTGCTACGTAGGATATTGTCTATTATCCGGTAGGGGTGACAATCGGATTGTATTAGGTTGTGTACGTGTCGTATCTTTTTAAGTTTGTATTGGGTATCAGTTAACCCTAACGCAATCCATTTTACTAATTATATCGTATCGTTTTGATCTATTTATTTTCATGTCGTATTCGTGTTGACTCATATAACTCGTGAATAAAATATTTAACGCTCAGTTTTATATCTAAAATTTCATTATTACTTAATAGATTCTATGCTTGTATTTTTTTTTATAAACTAAAAATTAAATTAATAAATACAATAATAAAAATGAGTAAAAATATCTTTTTTTTACAAGAATTTAGTCACTACTTTGATATGAACTCAATCAATTTATTATTCGCGTTAAAAGAATCGTATTATATACGAATTCGTGTCAAAAAATGATCAACTCTAATCACTCATTTTGTGCAAATTTCGAGTCATGTTTGAGTTCTATTAGAAATAATTGTCACCCGGTACCAATTCTGCATGCTCTAGAGCAGTCCATGCAGCCATCTTGCAGGAATTCGCCCCTCTATTCAGAAGTTGTATATAATTCCCACTTTTGTGAGTAATTTAACATATTTATGGGTATTTTTATTATATTTGTGAGTATTTTTATTACTGTTATGGTAATTATTTTTATTATTTTTTTAAATACTACAACAGTAATAAAAATACTCACAAATATGATCAATCAAGATATGATGTCGAAAAAAAAAATTGATACCATATCAAATCCATTTTTTATATGTTCTTTCATTGATTAATTCCCATTTTCTTTCATATGGCAAGTTGGAGAATTCAAGTACGGTCTCCTTTCAGCTTGTGTATCCTACCTTCGGACAAACCAATCATGACATAGCAATCTATGTCATTCATAGAGGTCGGTGATGCATAAAAATGTTTATGCAAAATTAACCAATCAATGAAGTAAGAAGGGTTCAATACATGCAAATACAAAGATTTGGTAGATTTGATCGGTGTGACCTATTATATTGGGAAGGGTTACGGTTGCTAGAGAATTTTATTACTCATATGTGTAGAGTACTGAGATGTGTGTGATGTCCTTTATGTGTATGTGAGACTTATAATTTATAGAGAAATACACTCTTTGTGGCGTTTCAGAGCGGGCTTTAATAGAAGTGCCATTGCGAGGAGCTCTGATTAAGGTGTCATTCTTGTGATGGTAGTGGATGGTTCCGTGATGTTTACGTAACGAACGATGTAGTTAAGATTTGTAATTCACACTCTGATTCTCTTCTTGAAATGAAAATTTCACACGCGTCACTAGTAAATTGAGTTTTTCAAGACAATAGACTTGGCTTGGGTCGGACTGCACATGTTACTTAAGTCTATTTTTAAACTGAGTCAGGCCTGAATTGGACTGGGCCGTGAGATGTACTTGGGACCCAGAATATGTGGCACTTTCATTCATGATATAACCATTATTGCCGTTTTTTTCATTTGATTTCTCAATCTATTATGTTGGAATGTTCAAAACAATGCTGAAAGACCTAGCATCTTGCAGATTTCACTCTCCTTGTGCTTATATGGGTGAGCTGCGACACAGACTTTTCTGCATTTTATGATTGATATTGCTTGATTTGTCTTAGCCTAAAATGTTTCGAACTCGACTCCACGATGAAATACTTAGGTGGGTGAGGGTGAGGGTGAGGGTGAGTAGGTGTTATATTATCTATGACTTGTACAAAGTCTTATCAAAACACAAATCACTGTGATCGTGAGACCAAAATTTCCAATTACAAAAGAGCAAAATTGTTCGGAGAAGTGCTGGAACTTTCAGTGCTACGCTCCCCACGTCTGCCAAACTGACTCCGACATTGGATGGTTGGACTTTCTGATAGATGTTGGAAGTCCAATTTACAGTCTTTGAAAACTTCAACTTTGCTTAGTCTTTGTGTGGCATCTCATTCTTTGCTGTGCTCTCTCCCAGTGCCAACCCTTCTTACTTTGAGGTTCATTATACTTGTCATTTTCTGGAACAGAGTATAATACACCATCTAAAGTAAAAATTCAATATCAGTAGTATTTCCTCTACATTTAACGTTGTTTTGCTGGCCATTGTCCCACAAACAAAACCTTATGAATTGGTCTTTCTTTTTCGTTTGGTGGCTTTGAAATATGCACCCCCATTTCATTTAATTCTATCCAACTCCACACAGCTCAACTAATAAAGGTGAATCAATGCACAGGCAATGACAACTGATTGTCAATGTTATCTGTAGAGACACTTGTCTTCCCCCACTAAATGCTGGATCATCATTTAGGTGAACCTTTATGGGTAGCAAAAGAGGTGTAGGGTTTATATATACCACCTTACCCATTGATATATGATGTTATTGTACATAATTTAAATCTTGACAATTAGGTTATGACTATTTTATCTTTTATGAATATTCTACTTTCGATATGGATGACCTACATTTAACTGTACCGGAGAGAAGATTAGTAAAAGTATGTGTAAACTGGTCTAGACACTCCTCATTATTGAATAAAAAAAAATGATGTTATTGTCTAAAAAAAAAACTAGCACCTACCCTCTCTATTTAATATAATAATTATCTTTTGTAAAAAAATAGGATTTATCTTATTTATTTGGTAATATTTTATTATACGATAATATCACATGACAATATTGATGTGTTATCACTATTTCATTGAATATTTACTTGTAGAAAATGCCTTCTTTTTTATAATTCATCGGTTGTGCGTGAATCCCAATATTCATGAGTAATATTGGCACAACGATAGAGTTTTCTCGTTGTGCCTTAAACATGTTGAATTAAAATAACATCAACGATCTTTTTTTATATATAGAGATAAAAATATATATATTTAATCGTAACTATATATTATAATAACAAAAATATCGAACACTAAATTATTATTTTATGTTTTCTTATAGAAGTGGTGCATTGGGGGGATTGGGATTGCATCACAGTGGTTTGTACCATATCAATCACTTTCTCATGCTGCTTTTCAACTTTTGTTTAATTTTCATATTTCATTTGCCAAAAAGGCACCGCAGAAGCCGTTTATGATCATTTTGATTTTGACAACCACGAAGGGTTATTTATCACAATGTAATAGTTTAATATATAAAATAAAATAAATTTTAATAAATTTATTCGACGATCTCAAATAAATTCATTCAATGATTATCGATATTTCTCTCAAAATTATTCATATTGTACCGTTCTTTCAGACACGATTACCCTTAGTTTTTAAACAAAAGTGAGATTGATTGATTTTATTTTTTAAAAATATCACAATTTAAGTTCAAATGTGCTGTATATAAATAATAAAATTTAAAAATTATTGCATTGCGATAAATAACTCTACTTTTGAATGGATTTGAACAAAAAAATCGGGTGGAATCAATTGTATATAAGTAAGTCTTTTGCAAGTAAATGGTTGAAATAAACATTGAAATTTTAATTTAAAAGAAAATTGAAATTTCTTGAAGTGCTTGCTCTTAATTATTATTGACCCACTAATATGCCGTTGATTACACTTGAAATCATGCAAGTAATTTATCAGGAAAAAAATTAAAGAAATATGTGGTAAAAAATAATTCAAATCCTTCTTTTTTTTTTCTGTTAAAAAAAAAGACTTTTCAATACCACAGCTTATTTTTTTTTAATTCATAAAGATATGACACAGATAATTTATTTATTTATTTTTATTTAATTATTTTTAAATCATGATTATAATAATGTAAAATTTAACAACGGAGACAATAATTATTAGATCAATCGCTAATTTTTTTTTTTTTATTTTTTTATTTTATGGTTTACAGAGGGGCTAGAAATTCCATGTGAGAGCAACCAACCAACATGCACCGTTGATCCACAAAGAGACAGAAATGCCCCACCAACGCGTCCCCTTTCTTTAATTCGCGTGTCTGTCGGTGTTCGTACTATTTGAACCGTAAATTCAACAGCTTTTCAAGGGTATTATGGCCATGAAAAAGAATAAAAACCGTACTACCACCAGTCCACCCAGGACTCTCTTTCTGTGTCTCTTTCTCAACCTCTCCGTCCTAATCTCCTACCTCCACTCTCTTTCTCTGCTGCAAATAACAAATTACTTACAATATTTATATACACACGTTGTTGAAGAGAGAGAGAGAGAGAGAGAGAGAGAAACTTTAGCTGCATTGAAAAGCATTGGCAAAGTTGCAGATTTTCTCTTATGGTTTTCTCTAATCGAAGGGAAGGAAAACAGTAAGTTTTATACTGTCTTTTTTGCTTTATTTTTCCTAGGCAATGTCGGAATTGAAAATTTTCTAGGAATGTGAATGTCAGAAATTTTCTGGGGAATATAATTTCTTTGTTTATTGCTTTAGACTATTGTGGGTTTTTTTGTTTTCTGGTCGGTCCATGTTCCAGATGCCGGAGAAAGCTACGAGCTTTGCATGGGTTTTCCGGCCGAATCAGATGATTCATTGGCTTTTCAAGGTACTTACACTTGTAGTTTTCCTTACAATCTTGATTGTTTGGAGCATCGATGGTTGGAATTTTAGTAAGTTTCATAAAGATTTTCTTGTTATCAACCTCAATACCACCCAAATTCACAGAGATTTGAGCTCTGAAGATCTTTCTCATCAATCCAATTCAACCTTTCAAGAACACCATGACAACTTTCCCAAGAATTTCACTCACACCCACAAAAATTTCACACAAACCCAACAAATTTCAGGCTCTGGTGGTGATCCTATCCCACTCAATTTGTCACAAGACCAGCTCAATTTTGCTAGTATTAGTCCCAAAAAAGTTGTAAATTTGACCCACCCTCCTCCAACCCCTGGAAATTTGGGTTGGATTTCGGCTGAATTTGAGGCACACTATTCATCAAATCTTTTAGCCAAATGGTTGGCTCCTGGTGGTGAGCCATGTAGGGTCTCGGAGACAGTAAATATCACAGTTCCTGCTTTGGATGGTCATTACCAAATTGAATTATCAACTGGGGATATCCATGAATTTGTTTTTCAAGCAGTGGATGATCAAGGAAACCCCCGTTGTTTGGGTGGTGATTATTTTGAAACTGATCTCTCCGGTGAATCTTGGAAGTCTCGGCCTCCGGTTAAAGATTTAGGCAATGGTACTTACACAGTTTCCCTCCAAGTCCACCAGGATTTTCCTGGAATTTACAATCTCACTGTAATCCTATTGTTTAGACGCCACCAAGGGTTGAAATTCTCACCTCTGAGATTTGCATTCGACAAAACTCTTCGTATTGTGGCCATCAAATTCCACAAATCATCGTTCCTATTACCGGATATAACTCAATGCCAGAAGGCTGATCTCACTAGGGATGTTTGGTCTGGTCGATGGACTCGACATGCCAAGAATGATAACTGCTCGATTAGCAATGATGGCCGATACAGGTGCCTAAAACCAAACTTCCCCTGTCAACTTCCGTGGTGTAATGGTTCTTTAGGGTTGCTAGAGAGTAATGGATGGACCTACTCAACACATTGTTCCTTCAAACTATTTGATAGTGAAACGGCTTGGAAGTGTTTGAACAATCGCTGGATTTTTTGGTGGGGGGATTCAAATCATTGTGATACTATTCGTAATATCCTTCACTTCATCCTGAATGTGCATGAGATCAAGATGGTACCTAGGAGGTTTGATATGAACATCACCAACCCGAATAATCCATCCGAAATGGTTCGAATCACTAATATTTTCAATGGCCATCCAAATGATACTGGGAATTATCAGGGGTTGAATTCATTGATAGACGAAGATTATAGAAATTTGTTGAAAGGGTACTTTTCAGGAGAAGTTGTACCAGACACAGTGATCATGAATTCGGGCTTGCATGATGGAGTTTTTTGGCAAAATCTTAGGAGGTTTATCAGTGGGGCGGAGTATGCAGCAGCATTTTGGGCGGAGGTGATGGAGGGGGTGAGGCAGAGGGGGTTGGTGGCACCGGAAATTATATATCGGACCACAGTAACAACGGGTGGTTATGCAAGAAGATTAGCATATAATCCTTCCAAGATGGAGGCGTTTAATGGTGTGGTCTTGGACAAGTTTAGGAAATTTGGGTTGCTCTCTAGAGTTATTGATGGTTTTGACATGACATATCCATGGCACTACGATAACCGGTGCAATGACGGCGTGCACTACGGTCGTGCACCGGCGAAGATGAGGTGGAGGGACGGTGAGATCGGGCACCAGTACTTTGTGGACCTCATGTTGTGCCACGTTCTTCTCAATGCGCTCTGTGCAAGGTAGGAAAGCAGCAAATGTGGTGCTAAAATACGCGACAGGTGATATCTTGTTTTGGCTAAAGGTTGGGGGTGAGACTGCAGCATTGAAAAATTATTTTTCATTACTATACCGAAATTTACATATATTTTTTTTGATTAAGATACAGCTTTTTTGGGTTAAGCTGCAATACAATGGGATTGTTGGGGTCGACTCCGAAATAACTTAACCTCGAAAAGTTGTATCTTGACCAAAAAATGTTGTAAATTTTGTCACCGTACCTCTTTTGGTATCGAAGTCGTACCCAAAGTTTGGAAGTTGAGAATGTTAGAGAATTTGCTGGCCTTGGTTGATTGATTGCAAATGTTAGAGAAATTTGCTGGCCTTGGTTGATTGATTGCAAGCTGGAACGATAAGGTTTGGCAAGAAAAGGTGGTGTGTCCAGCCAAAGGAAAAAGGTGATAATTTGAGGCAGAATAATGGGTGGTGGGGTCTATATAGTTGGATTATGAGTGGTTTTTTGTAGGATTTTTTTTTTTTTTTTGGGGGGGGGGGGGGGGGGGGGCGGGTTTGTTTGGGGTTCAGGTTGTATCACTAGGGCCATTACCAATGTGGAGTAGTTGTGTAGATGTTCATTATTTTTTGACTTTCTTGTCATAAAGTCCCAATGAAATGAATTGGTTATGCTTGGAATTTTTCACATTTACATGGTACCATGACATTACTCGTCTAATTACTTTTTTGCGACGATTATGATGTGTGAGATTTTTTTAAATATATTTTTTCTCTGATTCTTTTCTTGGTGGATCATTAATCATGCATTCAAGTGGAATTTATTGTATGAATTTCAAGGAGTAGTTTAAGTGATAATAGGGACGAATTGTAAACTAAGACGTCATGAGTTTGAATGAGGTTATGAAAGATTTATCTCTCATAAATATCTTATTTTCGACGTGGATGATCTGTCTTTGACCAAATCAGAGAAATAATTAATGAAGTGTGTGTAAATTAGACTGAATACCTTTGATCGGAACTTATTATATGCAAGCAAACCTCTTAATCGTTAATGATGGATGAACGATAATAAGAAAATTAAAGAAAAAAAAAGTGTTGATGGAGAAGTGAATCCTCTATTCTCATTAGTATAACATGTGGCAATTTTTTTTTTTTCACTTTTTACTCCTTTTTGATGGGGACATAAAATAGAATCTTGTCCACTTTGGTTTTTTTTTTGAAGTGTTCACATGGAGGAGTACAAATGTCAAGGATGTTGGAGGTGCCATTAACTTAGCAGATAAGTAGTATCTAGGAGGATATTTTACGTTTAATGCTATGAGTGTCCTTTATTACAAGTAATTGGATGACATATTAGGTGGACCAATTTGGGTATGGGAGTGTAAATCCAGCTGAGTTTGATGAATATGTTTAGTTTCGATTCATAAGTGTCTGAGTTGAGTCGAATTTAGATATTTGTTCAAATTTTTAGAAGTTTGCAAAAATTCAAGCTTGATTTCTTTAGGGGAAGAGGGAAGTAACATGACTTAAAGTCATTTGAAAATAAGTTGTAAATTGTTTGTCTCTCGTATGTTGTCTCTTGGATGTTGATTATTTGAAAAAAAAATTAAAATTATTTATGGATAGAAACTTATTCAAGTCGAGTCAAGCAACTCATTGTGTAGATCTATTCTTTTAAAAAATAAGTTTACAAAATCTGTTAAAATTCGATAAATCTTATAATTTCAATGAGTTTAAACGAAAACAAAACCGAGTCAAGTATTGAATTGTTTAACAAACCCACTTTGGGGGATGTGATTTTTTTTTTTTGGGGGGGGGAATGGGAAATGTTGATTCGGTCTTAACCCTGTAACTACTACAATGATTGAAGAATTATGAATTTCTATTATGGACCATAAGATGCTACATATAATTGAGATAATATGACGATTGAATATGAGTTGTCTGGACCAAAAAAAAAAAACATTGATGTGAAATATCAACGAGGCAACGGAACAGTAAAGATTTTTTTTTTTTCAATGGCAACATTATTTTGACTGAATTTGTTAACATAATTTGTTAATTTAATCTATCATGATTATTGGATTGACTCGACCTATGACCCACGGTCCGACCCACAATCCATGACACAAGTAATCTATATCTATATTATTAATAAAAATATCTTTGTATGAAAAATTTTTGATTCAATATTTTGCCTTTATAAAAAACTATAAAGACTAACATATCATTTGATATTTAAATATTCAAATTACGATTAAATCCTTTTGTATCACACAAAATTCTCAAACCTGTGAGAAACAACAATAAAGAAAATACACGTCAAAGAAAAACAATCACACGTACAAGACAATATTTACGTGGTTCAACAATTTGTCTACGTTCACGAAAATGCAGGGGTTTCACTATTCTTAAGAACGATTACAGAGAGGGCGGTGGCCATACAAAATCAATCAACTCTAATCACCCAAATGAAACAGGTTTTATATGACTTGCACTGGGCTACAAACAAACAGGCCCAAAAAAATTTTCTTGGGGCGTTGCCCTTGAACCCCCACGAAGCTTGTCCATGAGCACTATACGGCTTGGGCATATCAACCCAAGTCTTCGCTCCATAGACTAAGTCTCAGAAAATTACCCATTAAAAACCACGCAACATTTTTTAGGTCCGGTCATCATCTGGATCAACATAAAACTAAACTCCACAAAAAACCCAACAAATCTCCCACTTGGACACTAATTCAATCACCAACATCAATTGCAATCCTTCCAAGAATAGTCCCTCATCCCTGCAACTCATCTTCATGTCCTTAAGTTAGAAGGCCAACTGAAGCTGCATACAACTTCAGCTTCTCAATAGTGACACCCTTAGTCAACATGTCTGTCGGGTTCTTAGTTCCACAGATCTTCTCAAGTATCGACTGATCATCATTAAGCAAGGACTGTATGAAATGATACCTAATCTGAATGTGCTTCGTTCTGGAATGAAACATCGAATTCTTGGCAAGGAATATGACACTTTGACTATCACTGTAAAGAGTACCCTTCTATTTTTTTTACCTAGTTCCTCTAAGAAACTTTGTAACCAAATCATCTCCTTTGAGGCCTCTAACACTACAACATACTCAGCCTCTGTAGTAGAAAGTGATATTGTCTTCTGCAGGTTAGAACCCCAAGACACAACAGTACCACCCAAAGTGTACACAAAATCGGTGGTGCTCTTCCTACTATCAGTGTCTCCGGCCAAGTCGGCGGCATCAACAAAATTCTGTAACTCCAAACTACCTCTGGTGTAACACAAGCATGCTTATGAGGAACCTTTCAGGTACCTCAGAATCCACTTCACAGCCTCCCAATGTTGTCTTCCTGGGTTGCTCATGTATCTACTCACAACTCCCACTGCATGGACAATGTCTGTCTTGTGCAAACCATAGCATACATAAGTGAACTAATAACTGAAGCATAAGGAACCTTACTCATGTGCTCATGTTCCTCCTCTGTCTTGGGTGACTGATCTTTGCTGAGTCTGAAATGACTATCTAGCGGTGTGTCAACTTGTTTGACTTGATCCATGTTGAATCTATTAAGTACCTTTTTCACATACTCGGCCTACGACAATTTCAACGTGCCCTTTACTCTGTCTGTGATAATTCTCATACCAAGGATTTTTTTTGCAACTCCCAAATCCTTCATTGCAAACTATTTTGACAACTGTTTCTTGAGATTGTTAATCTCGTCAATGCTAGACCCTGCAATGAGCATATCATCCACATATAATAGTAAAATAATGTAAGAATTGCCAAAGAACTTAACATAACAACAATGATCAGCTTCACATCTTTTGAACCCAGTTCTATGCATAAAACTGTCAAATTTCTTGTATCACTGTCTTGGAGCTGGTTTTAAGCCATACAAGCTCTTTCTCAGTTTGCAGACTAGATTCTCTTGTCCCTGAACAATAAACCCTTCTGGCTGAATCATGTAAATGTCTTCTTCCAAGTCACCATGAAGGAATGCTGTCTTCACATCTAATTGCTCAAGATGTAGGTTTTCTACAGCCACCATTCCCAATACCAGTCTAATTGTAGTCATCTTTACAACTGGAGAAAATATTTCTGAGAAGTCAATGCCCTTCTTCTGCTAGAACCCTTTGACAACTAATCTGGCTTTATACCTCTTGCTACCATCATGCTCATTCTTAATTATGTATACCCATTTGTTGTGCAAAACCTTTTTCCTTACTGGCAATTCAATCAGTTCCCATGTCTGATTCCCCAACAAGGACTCCATCTCATTATTCATGGCTAACTCCCACTTGCTTGAATTTTCATCGTGCAAGGCTTCATCATAACACTCTGGCTCACCACCATCAGTCAACAAGAGGTAATTTAAAGTGGGTGAATAACGCTGTGGAGGTCTAATGATCCTGAAAGATCTACAGACATCAGTTACGGGTGTACTCTGATTTACCTGTGATTCTACATTCTCCTTATCTTCTTCACCCCTTTTTCAGGACAGTACTTTCAGTCAATTCATCTAAGTTGACAAAATTCAGATTTCTTTTGATCTATCTCTGTGACATCTGACACTACAGTTGACCTGTCCTTGTACATAACATGTTCATTAAATATCATATTTCTACTTCGGATGATTTTCCTGTTTTGTTCATCCCAAAAACGATAGCCAAATTTCTCATCACCACAACCAATGAAAAAACATATTCTAGACTTTGCATCAAGTTTAATACGAACATCAGAATCAATATGAACATATGAAACACAACCAAAAAACTTTTAAATAGAAAAACTTTACTTCTTTACCACTCCATACCTCTTCAGGAAGTCTAAACTCCATGGGAACTGAAGGTCCTCGGTTTATGAGGTAAGCTGCAGTACTAACAACATCAGCCCAAAAAATCTTTGGTAGTCTAGCATACAACCTCATACTTCTAGCACGCTCATTGAGAGTTCTATTCATGTGCTCAGCCACACCATTTTGCTGTGGTGTCCCAG